GGAGGGGGAAAGCTAGCTCAGAACTGGGAAGGGCCGTACATCATCAACGCTGTCATCCGGCCGGGAACATACCGATTAGAGACAACGACGGGTCGGCTAATACAGGGGACTTGGAATTCCGAGCACCTCGTTCTTTTTAGGCATTAGCCTATTTCTTGTACTTTTAGACGAAGTGGGGGCTGGACCTGCGAGTTAGTCCCGGTCGTCATTTCTATGTAAATGTTATGGTTGTAAAATTAGTTCAACCGCCTGTGAGCGGGAAAATTTAATGTATATACGATCGGTGATTGCTCGACCGTTTGTATGCGGCGGCACGATCGGTTATTTTCTTTCACCCTCGTCATGAGCAGATCAATTCAACATTCAATCGATCGGGCGAAGTCTGTCGACCGGTCAAAACGCGCTCCATATAGGCGGACGCTCAAGTCACGCCACTGATCGGGGATGCCAGGAGCTCTCGGCATTATTCCCCGGTCCGTCCAACTTCTTCCCACGACTGCACCCGCTCGTGCCTCGAGCGCACAATCGTGTGGGGGCTGGGATGAAGGAAGTGTTTGCAGGCCCGTCGTTCGGTTACATCCTGACCGAAGAGGCTTGCGTATTTTTCAAAACTTCGTCAAGGCCTAAGAACCGGGTAATCCCGCTCAGGTTGGCCAATTTGACGGCGAGTACTTACGGGCCCGTCGCTCGGTTATATTCCGACCGTAGGGGCTTATGGATTTTCACCATTCTCGGCAAAGGCCTCGAGATCGGGTAAACCCGGTCGTGTGGCCAAGTTGACGTCGAAACCTCAAAGCTCCGATCAGGCCGTTGGGCCATAGGATCGGGTCTCGAACAAGTCAAGCTATGCAAGACCGGGCCATAAGGCCGCAATGTCGAGCATTAAGGATCGACATTTCTACGTTATTTAAAAGGAAAAGCAAGGAAATAAAAGACGAGCGGCACGAGATAGAGCAAAAATAAAACTTTATTAAGTAGCAAAAGGTGCCCGGTACAATTCGGGACCGGGCTCCCGATCGATCGTCATTACAAAAGGGGGAGACAGCCTAGTCTACTTCTTCGCCTCCTGAGCGCTGGTGGTCGCCTCTTTTCCGCTCGAGGCGGCCGCCGACGAAGCCCCAGGCTCGGCTGCCTTGGCTTTCGGGGTCGGGGTAAAGGGTGAGGGACCGGGATCTGCCACGTCCGGGGGCAAGGCCGACAAGACCAGTTGGAGATCATCGGCGTCGAGGGCCTCCTCCAACCGCTTGCGGGTGCGTTCGAGCATTTTCTGCTTCCCGGCCGTGAAGGCCCATTTCCCGAACGAGACGATCAACTCGTTCCCGACCTCGTCTCCTCGGGCTGCTGTTAGGAAGGCCGTGCCCAGCTCCTTGTTCTTGAAGGCTGCCCGCACCAGCTCGCTCGGGTTCTCGAGCTGCGCCTTCAGCTCCCTGGCCTCCCCAATCGCCCGGCTGGCGACCTTCTCGGCCAGCGCCCGCTCCTCGTCACCCTTCTTCAGGGCCTTCTGCGTTTTCTCCAGCTCGGCCTGGAGTTCCTTGATCTCCTTCAGACGGCGAGCGGCCGTCTTCTTGTGGTGATCGGCCTCCTCGGCCAGCATAGCTTGACCCTGAAGGAGTTGGGTCGCTCGGGAGATCTGCAAGGCAAAATGAATATTCAAGATTAGCCCGATCAACGATACTTGGGCAAAGAGAGATTAAAAGTGGGGACTTACCTCGGCAAGATCGTAGCCGATCCGCTCAGCCACCTGGGTCGGGGTCATCTTCCCCAGGTCCGCTCGGGCTGGCGCGGCATTGCCGATCCGTGCCAGCACGGATGTAGGCTCCCTCTCCCGCCCGGCCGAAGGGGTCGGGCTGTGTTGCTCGCGGCGGCGCTTCAGGCTGCCCACCTCGGTCGCGCCCTGGTCGGCGACCTTCTCCTTGCCCCGGGCGACCTCCACCCGGGTAACCAAGACGTCCGGCTGCTCCACGATGAAGCCCTCGCCCGTCGTCACGGTCGAGGCGCTCAGAGGTCGGGCAGATGGGATCTCCTTCTCCACGGCCGCCTTGGTCTTGGCCTTTTTCTTCCCGCCGAGCGAGATCTTGGCGGGTGGGGGAAGGGCGGTGTCTTCATCACCAAACTCGGCCATAGCTGCAAAACAAGAAAGTTAGTTAGATCGAGATAATAAGCCAGGTCGAGAGAAGTAGCTCGGGCCAAACCTTTCTTCTTTCGTTTTGACGGCTTGGCGACCGTCACGCCCATCGGAACGGGCAGATACTTCTCCGGCAGCTCGTACGTGGGGGGCGGGAGCATGGCAGCTGCGAGACTGTCAGCCGTCCGGAAGATGGCGTACTCATGAATCTCGCTCGAGATCCGAGCAACCGTTTCCTTGAGCGCCTGAGTCTCGTCTGGCACCACTTGTTTCCGGAAATGTGTGCTCCAGACGCGATCGACCGGGAAGATCCAGGGCTCGTACTTGAGGGAGAAAATCCTGTTTTTCCACCCCTTGTTGTTCCCGGGCAAGCCTCTGATCGAGCACATATCCGCTCGGGATTGCAGCATCAGGAACCCACCCCCGTAGCAGCCCGGGAGAACCTTGATCTGGTAGATGAAGTTAAACAACTCCATCGTGCACTCGGCCCCGTGCCGAGCGCATATCTGTGGGAAGCAGGCCAGGATCCGATGTGCATTCGGACAGATCTGGGCCGGGACGACCCGGTAATAGGCCAAGAAGGCGTTCAGGAGGGGGGTGAAGGGAACGGCGATCGGGGCCATCAGGGAGTCGTAGTGCATCCCGATCCACTTGCCCCGATGCCTGTCAATCACGTTTCCCAGCTGCCGGCTCGTGTCGAATTCTGCCCGACCCCGGAGTATCTCGGCAATCCGAGCCGCCTCGCCTTTGGACAGCAGGCTCATTTCTTGCTCGACGCTTTCGCTGTTCAAGAACTCGAGCTCGACAGCTGGTGTGGCCGGCCCGGCCGGGTCTTCTTCGGTTTGCTCGGGGGTATTTTCTCGATCACCCCCTCGAGGAGCAGCTTCCGGGTGGTCCCCAACCACCCGGGTGGGCGTTTCCCTAACGCCCTCGGTTGGAGAACCTCGCCCGCTTGACGTGGTCCTCTCCTCCTCTTCTTCGCTGGAGCTCCCCGATCCGCTCGAACTTGAGCTTGACGATCCAGAGGAGCTTGATGCGTTGTCTCGCTCGGCGGCTTGCTCGGGGGCTGGCGTCGCTCGGGGGCTGGCGTCCGGGGTGTAGGACATTATGTCCACCTCCTCGTCGCTGATGTGCTCGACCTCCTCGTCGTAATCAGCAATCGAGGCGTTTTGACTGTCTGAGTCCGTCATATCGATCTACCTAAAGGTCGGTCGGGGTTAGTAGGGACTTGAGACGTCCGGGACAGTTAGTTGACCTAGCAGTTCTACCTATAAATGAGAGCCTAAAAGTAAAGAGGAGGGTTGAGAGCTTACCGGTTGGAGGAAGATTGAAGGTTGGAGCTTGAAAGTTGAAGTTTGCTTGTTCGACTGCCTTGCTAAGATGCTCCGCTCGGGACTCTCTGAGGGTACCGACTGATGCGAAAGAGTGAGGAAAGTTCAAATGAGGGCCTCAAGGGCCTATTTATAGGAGGGCATTTAGGCGGGAAATGGGCCAACTTGCCTGACACGACCCGCGCTGAATCCGAGGCGACGGATGGGATCGCCGAGGCCGGCAGAGGCCGGCACGTGGCGTAGGGGGGAATGACAGCTGGCCGGTCGGCCTAATGCCTGACGGTTGGGCTTCTTCATCCCGTCCCGTTTTTTCCCGACTGATCAAAAAGGCCCGGGCTGGGGGGCTCTTGGTAGGGAATATCCCGACCGACATAGCTTCACCACGACCGAGGAGTCTTTGTCTCTTTCTCCTTGTCTTTGCAGGTAACAGGTCGGGCTCTTTGAGAAGAACCCGGTCGGGAGCCGACCGGGAGTTGCCCGGGCGAGGGTGTCAACCCCGAGCGGTAGTCCTTCGGCGAGAGAGCTGACTAAAGACACGTGGCGGCTCTTTACATCGACAGGCAGGGCACCCAGGAGGAAGGCACGTGGTGGCTACGTGGAAGACATGCCGAGCAGCTGGGATCTTGCCTCCGGCACAGCGGCTATAAATGCCCACAGTAGCTACAGTGTAGGGGACTTTTGGACGATCGATAGGTTGTTATTAGAGACTCCCGACCGCAGTCAGTCGGTACTCAGAGCAACCAAGTAGATTGTACTTAGGAACTCTACCTTGATCAATAAAGACTTACTTGCTTTACTTGGTCTTGTGTTATTTATATTGCTTACGTAGAATTAGCAGTATCAAACATAAATTATATGCATTATGAACATGAATTATGTACATTATGGAGTCAAATTATGTATATTCAACCAGAGTCCTCAATTCCACAATATAACGATTGCACCCAACTGTCATACCAACTTGATTGGAATTACATTAGATGATCTAGATCTCTTTTTTACTTTAACAAGAGGTTTCATGTTATTTTGGTTGAAAAATATGTAGTTTGACAAAAAAAAAAGAAAAGTAATCAATAATATGTAATCTGACAAAAAATACTTACTATATAAACAACCTAAATTAACTTAACTTTATTTATTAAAGTCACAAGACAAAATTTACACAAACACTATTGTATCCCTTATCTCTCATCAAAAAAAATGTGAAAAGCAGAAAAAAGCGGGCATGACAACTGACAAGCGTGACGGACATGCTCACCTTTTCTTTCCTTTTCTCCAGATATATTGCAGAATCATCGACGCTAGTATACGCGTATATATGCCCAGGAACATGTATGTATAGGCGGAGAGAGACAGCACGTTGTGGTGTAGGTCCTGTGGTCTGGCGAGCGAGTGGTACAGTAGAGAGAGGAGACGGCGCGGTTCGGAAAATTCGCAAGAAATTTACCCCAGCACTCAAAATCAAGTCACGCAACGTCTCCTGGTTGAATTCCATCGCTTTGACTACAAACAACCCACTTTCCACGTCTCTTTCGCTTCATCTCTCTCTCTCTAAATGGTTCTCTGTTTCTTCGAGTAAGGAGTTGACATTGCCCCGCGTACACCCCGCGTTTCCTCGTCGTCCTTCTGTTTGTCTTTTTGCCTCTGTTGACCGAGAGGCCGTGAAATAGTAGTAGTAAATCAATTCCTTGTTCCCACAATCCCACAGCTTTCTTTTTTTGGTTTTTAGTTCATTTTTTCCATTTTTTAAAAAAATTCTTTGGTTTTATCTATATACACGAGGTATATACGAAGAGGGAATTGTATAGAGTCTAGTTGGTGTTTCGTAGTCGGTCGTGTTTATTGAGGAAGTGCAGGGGAATTGTAATGGTGGATCTGAGGTTGTTCTTGGCGGTATTGGTGCTATGGGCGGCTTTTGTTGAGGGGAACAATAACTTGGTGTTTAAGGTGAAGCATAAGTACGGCGGGCGTGGGAGCTCCGTGTTGAGGGAACTGAGGGCTCATGATTCCTTCCGCCACCGCCGAATGCTGGCCGCCGTCGACTTCCAATTGGGCGGCAATGGTCAGCCCACTGATGCTGCGTTAGTGCTCCGCTCTGTTATTTATAATCGTAGTTTTAAACGGTATTTGGGTAACGCGATTCTATGAATCTGCTCGATGCTATTAACAGATTGAGCTGCGTTGACTTAGGTCTCTAGATCCACTCAGATTCACTTTTTCTCTGATAACTTTATATGTGTGTATAGTGGTTGGTAACACAATTAGTTGATTTTGTGTAAAATTTTCAATTTTTGGACTGTATATTTCTCTGGGATTTTTTTTCCTCTAGCTGCATGATCACCTCTACCATATGATTTGTAGGAATTGCAAAAGTTGCAAACTTTATGTGTTTTTCTTTTGTTTTTGGCATAAGGGATAATAGGGAAGAATGAAGTTAAAGCTTTGGAAATACTACAGTATAATATATTGTCCTAGCTGCATGATCACCTCTACCATATAAAGCTTTTGTTTTTGGCATCAGGGATATTAGGAAAGATGATCACAGTAGTTTGAGTATTGGTAGATCAATTTGATGTATTTGCATCCTGTATATAGCTCTTTTAGGATATTAATGAATGCATGCGTATATCTGCTGTAGATATTGGTAACAACTCTAGTCTTTCTTTTTGTTGCTAAGCAACGCCGGGTTCTCCTTTTTACCCATTTAATTTTTTCTCAAGGGCCTGGGGTAGTGCCTTGGTTTCACACTTGGATTAAACAGCACATCAACCGAATTTCCATCTCACCTTTTTGAGTATTGACCTGTGTACTACTTTAAGCTCTTCGTCTTATGTTGCTTGAACTTTGCATTAATGCTTGCATAAAAAAGATGTTATCCTGTTTCCTGTTGTGTGCTTGCAAATGCTTATTTTGATTATATGGCTCAAACAATTGCAGGCTGTACTACACTAAGCTTGCAATTGGAACTCCTTCAAAGAATTATTATGTTCAAGTTGATACTGGGAGTGACATTCTATGGGTGAATTGTGCAGGCTGTTACAAGTGTCCTAAAAAGAGCAACCTTGGGGTGCATACTTTATTCCATAATATTTATTTCTTTTTGTTTTCTAATGACTGATTTGCTCCTCCAGGCTTTTATTGTCCTTTGTAACCGTCTTGCAATGCACTTTCTTGTATAACAGATTAATTTGTCGCTATACGACATGAAATCCTCTTCGACCGCAAAGGAGGTTACTTGTGACCAAGATTTTTGCACCACTATGTTCAATGCTCCATATTCTGATTGCAAGGTTGGAATGCCTTGTGAATATCAGGTTACTTATGGGGATGGCAGCAGAACTGCAGGGTATTTTGTCCAAGATTATATTCATTTTGATCAGGTGACAGGAAACCTTCAAACAAAATCAATGAATGGGAGTATAGCATTTGGGTAAGTTTGACGTGGTAGTGATGTTAACCTGTATTCTATCATTTCTAAATAAATAGATGTCTGGATTTGCATGTAACACCTGATGAAATGCAGTAACAGCCTATCAGGCCAACAACTAATTGAAAGAAAAATTTATTTGGATGGGTTAGACTATGAAAAAAAACTAGTTTTTGGTTGAAGAAGAGATGAGTGAGACAAGTGACTGATAGATATTGGCATTATCAAGTTAATTCCTCATTTCCTCTAGCTGACAATATTAATCTTCAAAGGGTAAAATCCATTTACTGAGAAGAAGTTATTGGTTGGCAGTCTTTCCATTCTTTTCATGTAGGAAAGAATTATTAGACCCTCTGAAGCAAATTATCCCAAAGGATAAATGGATAATGCTACTTCAGCCACGAGTTTTGTACTGAATCTTGTACCATTTCACAATTTTATTTGATTGACATGTGATGGGTTCGGTCAATTTACTAGTAAACAATGAATGTGAAGGGCAGTGATACTTGTCACCAGTCACATCATTTGGACTAAGTGGCATTTTCCTTGTATGAAATTACGAGTTTTTCCAAGGCAAAACGTTGCACTGAAGAAGATATACATTCCTAAGGAAGAATGAAATAGTTCTGCATTTACTGTCAGAGTTAATTCAGTTTGCATTTATCTTAGGTCATTTGTTTGGGAAAACTGTTTCTTATGTACTATACATGTGTACTCAAAGTGTAACCCCCAAAATATTTAAGATCCATTCTTAATGTTTTTGATCGAAGATAGGTGTTCAGGTCAACAATCTGGAGAGCTAGGTACATCTGCGGAAGCAGTTGATGGGATAATCGGTTTTGGACAAGCAAATTCATCCCTTATTTCACAGCTAGCAGCATCCGGAAAGGTGAAAAAGATATTTTCACATTGCTTGGATAATGAAAATAGTGGTGGAATATTTGCTATTGGACAAGTAGTTCAGCCCAAAGTAGCTACAACACCATTGGTCCCAGATGAGTGAGTGATGCTATGCATTATTTATTTTCCTTTGCATATTATGTTATAGATTTTTTCAGCATGTACTTTTATAGTTTTATATGGTCTACTCCATTGAACTATAATAACATCTATTGTACTTGATGTCACCTGTTTTCCTTCACTTAGCTACCATAATACTAAGTACTTGATGTCACCTGTTTTCCTTCACTTAGCTACAACATCATAATTAGTTGTGCTGAAAATTTTCTTTGCTTTCCTAGATTTTTTGACTAGTTCACATAGCTATTATATACTCATAATTCATTTGGAACATAATTAATTGTGTTGCAAAATCTTTGCTCTACTCTTTTGATTTTTCTAATTAGCATGAGGGAGCCAATTACAGGTTCTTGAATTGGAAAACAAAATTATGCCAACAGATATCACTACTGCATGCATCTTTTCATTCTATCTTTATAGAGAATTTCTAAATTTGGAAAAAATCCTGTCATCCATAAAACTGTTTTCATGCAAGTGATATGAAGTCCGAATGTCTCCAGTGTGAAATTTTAATAGCAAAAGTTTTTATTTGAAACTAAGACACAGAAAAATAAGGAAACTAAAAAAATCCAGCCTGCCATGTAGGGCCAGGAGGACGAGAGAATAAAGTTTTAAGAGTTCATTTGAATTGAACATGTTTAGGGCATCCGTGGATACTGCATATTTTTCATGTTAAATTAATTGAGAGCCCTCATTTTTATTTCCATCAATATATTTAAAAATCCACATATTGCAATGTTTCTTGGATTTACAAGATAACATCATCATATAAATAGAATTTCTTTTTGTCAGCCGTGCACTCAAATGTTTCCTATAACCTACTTAATACTTTTTTTAAATGGTCAAAATGGGCAAAAACACGAGTGACTCCTTAGTTTTTAGCTTGGGCCTACTTTGAGAATGTGTGTTTGTATTTGCTGTTGTCCTCCATAATCCATATGCACACAATACTAATCATATATTCATATTTTCCATTTCAAATTCAGAAAAAAATGAAAATGTTCTTCAGTCATTTCACGCCCCAACATTTTGTGTTTGTGAATTATTGCAAATTGTACGTGACTTTGAGTATTCATGCTTTTTGAACTCTCACATGGGTCCTCCCTATGTGAATTAGGTATCTTATTGTCTTTCAATCTTCTGCCTTCTTGTTTTTGTATTGTGATTTACTATCCAACTTTTTTGTTGCAGTTTCTGTTTCTTGTTCTTCAAATTTCCCATTTCTTTATTGTTGCTTATGATGTCTTAATTATAGTTTGTTACAATCTTAGGCCACATTATAATGTTATTATGAAGTCAATTGAGGTGGACGGTGATCCTCTAGACATTCCAACATATACCTTTGACACAGGGTCTTCCAAAGGGACCATAGTTGACAGCGGTACAACCTTAGCATATCTTCCAGATTCAATTTATGGCCCTCTCATGAACAAGGTATATTGGATGCTTTAAAAATTTACGTATAGTCTATTGAATCATAGAGTCTTTTCTTCCAAACTTAGTTACAGATAACTGCGTTTTCCTTTATTAACTTTTGGTGCCTTTGTGTTATTTTGCTAAAGATGATGTCAAAGCAAAGTAGTCTGAAGATTCATTTAGTCGATGAGGAGTTCAAATGCTTTTACTACAATCAAAAGTGAGATTTAGCTTCATGTTTTTCTTTATCAAATTTAGGTGCTTATGTGTTATCTTCTTCTTTGCATTGTTTAACCCCATGCTGCTGTTCCTTTGTTATATTGCTTATACACGTTAGAAGTTATGGATGCTGTGACTTTAGTTGTATATCATCATCATTACTTAATGGCCAAGATTTTTATTTCTTAATCTATATTCCTGCAAGTTATTGATCTACTTGTTAGAGCTCTACTGATCTTATTACCTTTTTAACATCCCCATTTCCTGTACTGGCGCAGTGTTGATAATGGATTCCCAGTCATCACTTTTGTTTTTCAGAATTCACTTAAGTTGACAGTTCATCCCCATGAGTATCTTTTCGAAGTTCAGGTAAGTAATCTAAGTGATGAATTTCTGCAATTTTTCCTTGATATCGCTTCAAAAATGTACTTCATCCAGTATGTGTCCACCCCCCTCCCCTCCCCCCAACCCCCCGCGCCCAGATATTGATGGTTGCACCACTAACTGTTGATGATAAGTGTCTTTTTGTACTTTTTTTTCCATCTGATCTTCGTATTATTCATCAAGCTGAAACATGCCCTTTACCTTTCCATAATTCCGTGCATATTATATGGGGGTGTTTGGCAAATGGCTGATAGCTGATTGGGTTAGCTGGTTGTAAAAAAAAATGTTTGGTAAATTGGCATGTTTGGTTCATGGAATAGGTCAGGAATGGAATAACATTCCTTGGAATAGACCTATTCCATTGTTTGGTTGGGTCATTTTGTCATGGTAATAACATTCCTAGGAATGAGCTATTACCTCTGCAAGGGGAATAACATTCCTGGGGGGGGGGGGGGGCTTGGTATTAGCTATTCTCATGCCCTTGGGAATAGCTTTTATATCACAAATACCAAAAATACCCTTTGCACATTATTTAATATTTATATTTAATAAATATAATGTATTATCTATCAATATATATATATATATATATATATATATATATATATATATATATATATATATATATATAGTCAAGTATTCCTATCATCTCTAAGAACTGTAGGAAACTGTCTCCAATGACGAGAGAATACTACTTGCATTTTAATTTTCTCATCAGCCTGTTATCTCGGGCGGAATGCCTTAGATACTTATCTGCGCTATGAAGACTATGGTTTTTGTTTTACTTTAACTTTGCTTCTTATGTTGTAGTTGGATAACATCATTAGTTTACATACTGCTTTCCTTGTATAAGAATGTCGTGTGACCGTGTCAATGTTACGTATTGCATTAATGCATGCAGGATGGCGAATGGTGCATTGGTTGGCAGAACAGTGGAATGCAAACAAAAGATGGAAAGGAAATAACGCTGTTGGGAGGTATTTCTATTTTTTTTTTTTTTTTTTTTTTTTTTTACGTCTTGAAGTGAAACAACATTATACCTGAGTACTCTCCTGTTACTTGTAGTAGGAGTGCTGAAATTGCTGACGCTCTTCATTTTTGAAAATTCTGATTTGTATCCCATGTCCATAAACCGTTGTTAACTATATGCAACATGATATGTGTATGTGATTGCAAGATAAGAATGATATAACTTGGTTAATGGTGAATTAAGATAATGGGTGCCCCAAGTAAGATTCAAACTCGGTGTGTGCAACCCAGGCTGAATCTGGATTAGTTTTACCGTGCTGGGTGTTACACCCAAAAATAAACCCCCCCCCCCCCCCCCCCCCCCCCAAATCATCGTAGTAATTGGGAAGTTATTGACCACAAACTTTTTCGTATTTTTCTTCTATTGCAGACCTTGTACTATCTGGCAAGCTGGTTGTGTATGATCTTGAAAACCAGACTATTGGCTGGACTGATCATAACTGTGAGTATATTTCACTGCAGAACTAATTATGTCCCCTTGGCTATACGTTTTTCTCCTCTACATATCATGAAGCTCGAATACTTTCTCCGGTCACCATTCTTTGCCAAAAGGCTCAAAACTCTCAATTTTGATTTTTTTTTTTTTTTTAAACTATGGGTTGCCACTTGCCAGGGTTGGTGACGAGCTTTTTCCCACCCCTGTTCTGGTATTCTTTTCTTGAAAAACGCGAAAGAAGTTTATAGTATATTTTTCTTTCAATTTCAGGCTCTTCGAGCATCAAAGTGAAAGACGAGAGCTCTGGAAACGTGTATACCGTGGGTGCTCATGATATTTCGTCTGCTAACGCCCAGAAGACAGGAAATCTATTTATGTTGTTATTCCTTATTCTTTTGATGATGTAAAATGTGACGGACCTCACTTCTGTGGAATTTGATGATATAGAATGTAACAGACCTCAGTACAGATTTGTTGTGCGGTACAGTAATATGACAAGTATAACTTGATTACATTTGATTGCCTATGGAAATATAAGAATGATTCTGATGTGTTCTTCCTAAATCCTCAATATCAACAATTTTAAACTTTCTTTGTATGCTCATTTTTAGTATACTAAATTTTCATTTTTAATATAATACGGAATAAATGTTTAATTTTTGAAGAATTATTTTGGTGTAGTGAAAGTTTATTTTTTAGATGTATGACTTAAAAATGAGTATATATAGTATATTAAAAATGAACATTTTTTGGAGTGATGAGAGAAATTTACAATTATTTGAGAGTGTAAGAAATTTCACCTTGTAACTCTAACTTAAACTGGTGATTGTCTAAAATTAACTGGCTCAATATACACTGCTAAAAATTATGAAATTTTTGACCACCTGAAAGTAATTTTAAATCAAGTCGAAAGTCTTGTTTCGACCACTTTTAATATTCGAAAAAATTTTTGTTGTTATTTCTGATCACTTTTTACTTTCGACTTGATTTAAAATTATTTTCAGATGATTGAAAATTCCATAATTTCCAGTCATGATACAAGAAGATCAATATGCTGCTTTAGGTAAGATATGTGTGCAAACTGTGAGGTTAAGTTTTTAAAATTTGTGGACGCAACCCAAATAGAATCCGGATACACAAAAATTTAGTAAAGAATTATTCAAATTATTATTCATGTGAGCAAGATTTTGTGGTAAGATAGAGTAGCATCGAGCAGTTTAGCACCACATGACAACATTACACCTTATCCTCTACAAGGGAAGCAAATTTAGAGGGGGTCCAGCTCAACCCAAGTGCTAGGCAGAATGGGGGGAAAGAGATGACCCAGTTTTCTGTTGCTGCTTCTTCTGCTCAAAGCCTTCACACCCACTGTTCCTTCTTCCATGGCTCTGCTAATCGCCACTCGAAGCCACTCTCATCACCCTCTCCCACCATTCATCACCCCACCAGGTTTTCAATCCGAGGTCAGGTTTCTACTTTTATTATTATTATTATGAGGGAAACCCGCAGTTATTAACCAAATGCGTATATTAGTTAAATCTCGTCTTGCAACTTTAGCTGGCAAATCAATCTATGTTGTTCATAGCTGACTTCCTCCTAAATCAAGAAAATCAATAGGCCACTCTCGCTCGGAGTGGATTACTAAGTCAAATGTATAATAGAATTTGGGGTGTTTGATAAATAACTGTTAGCTGATTGAGTTAGTGAGTTTGACTAGTTATAACATTAGCTGATTGTAGAAAGATGTTTGATAAATTAACTGTTAGCTGATAGATGATTACATGCAAAATGACTTTCTCAAAAAATTATCAGAAAAGCTGTTTTGAGTAGCTTTTTAAATTTTAGTTTTTTGGAGCAATAAGCTGTTAGAAAAGCTAATTAATCAAACACTCATATTGGTTACAACTAATAGTAGTCAAATAAGTCAAAATTGACTGATAAGCTAACTATGATACCAAACAGGACCTTTGTAACCTTATGGTTCTTTGAATCACTATTTCATGACATATGTTGTCCTGTTCAAGAAACCTTTTTTTTTTTTTTTTTTTTTTTTTTTTTTTTTTTTTTTGTTGTTGTTGTTGTAACAATCTGTTGTTTGTATACAAAGGGCATGTTAAAGTTTAAAAGAGTCTACTAGAATGCATATATTAATAGTTGTGATTGAAAAGAAACCGGTATGCAAATAATCTCTGAAACTGAAGATTTGTCACTGCCATTATGATGGCAAATGGATTATATTGCAGTTGCAAATGACTCAGAAAGAGGCAAGCTGTCTTCTGATGTTATTGCCAGTGAAAGATCAGATGCTGACAAGCTGGTAGATGGCATGGATTTCGGCCAACTCTGCGATGAGTTTGAGTGCATTAGCAGCCCCTCAGTTGAAGCCACTGCAAGGCTGCTTGTCAAGGACATCATAGAACTTCGCGAGAGCAACCGCCCCATTGGAACATATGCAGTGTCTGTCAAATACAAGGTATGTCTACATACATAGATATCAATTTTAGAGTTAGATTAATGGTTATATGCTCAACACGCCCCCTCACGTGTGCGGTGGGTCAGATTCAAACCCATGACCTTTGGTCTGGGTCTGATATCAAATTGAAGCGTGTGCTCATCTCAACTAAAAGCCTAAGCTGATAGTTGGATTGCACATTAATGGTTATATGCTCAACAACCATTAATCATATATTCATCCTTAGCATCTTCACAAAGTGCAGGATCCGGTCCGGAGTTTCACTGGTCGAGAAAAGTACAACAGGCCCCTGTGGATAACAGATGCATTGGAAAACCCCACATCTGTAAGTTCTGCAGCTCTGGAAATCTAGCTAGTTCGCAAACCCTGCAGGGTCGAAATCATTTAATTTTGCAGAACTTATATAGCCTTCCTGTCTTTCTCTGCCATTGCAGAGTGTGCAAGAAATGGTGATGTTATCAACCAGTGTCTTGAACATCAAGTGGACAATCAGAGGGAAACCGAAATCTGTTCTTGCTGGCATAGCGGGTGATGTTATAATCAAAGTCGACTCCAAGTTCACTCTGAACCAGATCAGCGGGCAAGTGGTTGAGCATGAAGAAGTGTGGGACTTATCGTCATCATCTGTCGTTGCTCGAACGTATTTCTGGACATCGAGGCGACTGTATGCCAGCATCGAGGCCGGGAAGGACACTGCAGACTTTGTGAAGGAGGTGACGAGAAGATTCACCACAGAAAACAAAAACATGGAGGTTTATCCAGACTCCTATAGTGATCCAACAAAGGTACTTAGTTATTCCAATGTATGCTATCTCTAAAGTTTCCTTAAAGGATATGTTCCATCTCAACTAAACGTCTAAACTGATAGACTGCATTGCATTCTAGTTGTTCAGTTTTTCAACTAAATGTCTAAACTAATAGACTGCATTGCGTTTTGGTTGTTTGGTTTTTCAACTAAGTCCGTTTGGAAACCCGGAAAATGATCTCTGGAAAATTTTTTCCGAGTTTTCAGTGTTTGAATGCAACAGAAAATCCAGTCAACGGAAAACATTTGTCGTTGACCGTGGAAAATGAAGCCATTTTGGCGGAAAATGACTTCCGCCAAAATTTGGGGGAAGTCATTTTCCGCCAAAATTTGGGGAAGTCATTTTCCGCCAAAATGTTTAAACATACAATTCTACTCATTTTTCCAGAAAATAAACTAAACACACCAAGTTTTCCAAAATGCAACCAAACACTGGAAATGAAAATGTTTTTTTAAAAACTGACTCATTTTTCAGAAGTCATTTTCCTGCTTTCCAAACCGACCCTAAACGTCTAAACTGATAGACTGCATTGCATTTTGGTTGTTCAGTTTGACAACTAAACGTCTAAACTGATAGACTGCATTGCGTTTTGGTTGTTCAGTTTTTCCAGAGGGACGACGACTTCCAGAGAGACTTCTATCAGATTGCACTGTTTCTGGCAGTTGTGTATTTAGTCATACAGTTTTTGAGGACAACCTTGTAAGTAACATTGTGTTTCCCCCATGTTAAGTGCTTCTGTTCTATATCTGTAAGTATTATTGATGAAGTTGTATCAACTACATACACTCAAAAGCTATAACACCAACTTATACTTCATTGTAATGTAATGCAGTGCTAAATCACCATTGTTATTGGCACTGCTGATACACAATTTTATAGGGTTTTATGTATAAGTTTTTGTATGTTTGTACCTGTGATTTGAATGTAAATAGCTGTAAAAATAATGAAAAGAGGGGAAACCTTGAATCACTTGTGGTAAGGTGGGGAATTGACCACGAGCGTTGGAGGTTTGGGTTTAAATTGTATGTTAAGTCTTGAAGTTAAATTGACTTGATTTACTTTCTGGTGGATCCAAAGACGATTTTATAGAGTTCAAGATATATATTTTGACAAGTTAGAAACTTGTTATAAAAATATGTCAAGCACCTTGTGCTCAGATGATATGTAGTGGCTCTTCCATATAGGAGGTCATGAGATCGAGCCTCAGTGGAGGCAGTGTTGACTCTAGGTCATGAGATCGAGCCTCAGTGGAGGCAGTGATGAACAGATATTACAATGTAATAGAGTCAACCATTAAAAAAAAGTTATAAAAATATAGGTCATGTTAAATGTAATAGAGTCAACCATTAAAAAAAAAGTTATAAAAATATAGGTCATGTTACTTATTGTTCTAAAATGTTAAAATTCAAAAAGCTGCTTAAAGTAACTTTTTGAAAAAGTCATTAAACTTACTAATCCAATCGTTATCAGCTACCATTCATTTACCAAATACCCCATAATAAAATGAAAAGAGGCCAGAAAATGTTGAAATGAAAAGTGAGAAAAACGTGGTATGAAAACCATGGCTTTTTGGGGCTGCCCAGTCAGGAACCCCACTACTTTAACATTGATACATGTACCTGGCTCCGTAAAGAAAGATGGAGGAAATGGGAGGGTGAAAAAGAATACTTTTACTGTCGAAAAAATAACTATTTCAGTCTCTCAATTATTGACGGTATCATTATTAATTTTTTAAACTTTTATAAAATGGAAGTTTGATTTTTTTTTTTTTATGAGGTGGTGATTTTGGTTTACTTACCTGTTAATGGAGAATTTGATAGCTCAGAAGTGTAAATTACTATTTTGTATATATATTAATTAACAGGTTCCATGCATATAATGTAAAAGTGATGGATTTTGACGGTCTTTAGGGACTAAAACCATTTACCTTATGATAAATTGAAGGATTATTAATGCTCACATTAACAATTTAGGGATTAAAATCCCTATTTTATACAAATATAGAGACAACAAACATTGTTTTCCTTTGCAAAAAGCACGGTGGACCTGTAAAGATGATGCGCTTTTACCACTATTATTATGTACTTTAATTGTCACTGAGAACAAAATTGAGGAGATGGATATACACGGAAATATTAGGATAATTACAAAGTTATATTTTAATGTCATTTATAAGAAAGAAGCAAATTAATGTTGGGTAAAAAGCAAACGCTTTTTTTTTTTTTTTTTTTTTTTTTTTGATGACGAGGAAACCTGTCACCGATGGTGTATACTGGGTGAAGTTCACTTTTGTGTAAATAGTTTGTAAGTCACATAAGAGAGGTAAGTCACACTATGAAGACCTTGTACGTTGAGTTCGACAAGAAAGGTATTGTCAAGAATCAAACTTGTAACTTTTAAAAGTACGAGAATCATGTTCCACCCACTCGACCAACACTTCCAGAGCTTTTTGTTACTAATTTGATACGTGATAATGAAGGCATAATTAGTAGTGGCTTAAAGCTTAATCAATCAGAAACTAGTTTGATTGGCGTGAATGATTGTGCACTTTAATTCCTTAAGAGAAGTCATATGTTCAAAACATCATCTCGTATGGAAAAATCAATATAACAAACACTTTGTTCCTTAATTGGACTCGCCTGGTACAAACAAGAAATATGGATTAGTCTGAGTATGGTACAAGGTTAAATGTATCTCCTATAATTAAGGTCTACTCATGATATATAGTGATTAAAAAAAAAGTTTAATCAATCAAAAAAAGGTTATTAATATTGTATTGATAAAAAAAAATAGTTTTTCATCCTAAAATTACCTTTTGAAATAGTGAAGGTTATTCCACCATAAAGTTAAATGTAAAAGAACACTATCGAATAATGTTGCATTAAAAATGAATATAGAATATTAAATAAATTTAAGAGTTAATTACATGAATGGTAGCTCAACTTTTTCAATTTTTATCTTTGATCCATCACTAAAAAATTTGTTTGGAATATGTTAATTATAAAGGAAGAAGTGTAAAATCTAATATTTCACACGTTTTTTCTCCATTATTGTTCGTATATAAGTCCATTGCTACAATTTTTGAAAGTCTAGAATACATTTTAGATCATTGAATATTGTTTCAAAAAAAAAAATCATTTAATATTTATAGAACTACTGTAATTTAAAAAAAAAAAAAATCATTGTAACTACTATAGAACTACTGTAATATTTCACACTTTTGTCTTTATACATAAAGTATAATGGAGAAAAAATTATGTACTTCACACTTTTATCCTTACAATTGATGTTTTCCAAACAAATTGCTTAACATAGGACCAAATTGTCCGCACGGGCTTAGCTCAATGGTTCAGTAGGCAGTATCTGAGAAAAGAGACCAAAATTTGAACATCGATGGCGATAGTGTGGGAATTATGTCCAAAGTAAACAGATTTCATGTGTGCACCGACATTTGGCACTGTATTGAAAGCAAGTTCTAAGTGAAACTTTTCACTCACTCAACCTAAATTTAAGATGGAAAAGGAACATTCCTTTTCTAAACTAACTCTAAATTTATTATTAGACAAATATAAAATTTGTTTGGGTGAAGGGGTATACAAATCCCTAACGTTAATACAATTGGAAGGCACAACCCGACAGAAGCGATCACTGATCACCCCTTGCCCTACCTCCGATTTGTCATTCATCGGACTACAGGATGTCTATGTTCTTGCTGAAACGTCAGTGATGGCGTCAACAACTAATGATTCATTAAAATTTTAGACTAAGTATTAAAAAAAAAAAAAAAAACTGTTATTTTACCCGACATTGCTTTCAATGGGTTTATAAGTCAATAAATATAAGTCAAGAGTAAAATGTTGTCAATAAGGTTGCTACTTTTGTAGATTTTGTTAGAATTTAACAAAATCGAAATAGACCAGTCAAGATCTTCATAAATAACTGGCTCAAATCAAGAATGTTAATATTCAATAGACCGTTAGTTATTAATAAAATATACACTCTTAATTCGGCCAAAAACATAAAAAAAAGTAGACACACTAATAAAGTTCATTGGTCAACATTTCTGACTATTAAAGTAAGTAAAATTTCTTTAATAGTCACTTAGGTTCAAACTTGTGACCTCCCATTTGGGAGAGCCACAAAGGTGTCATTGAGCTATAAGCTACTTGGCAATACCGTTAGTTAACTAAGATGAAGAATAACGAAAATTTTAACAAAATTCATCAAGGAAAAGACCAAAAGCGTCATTTTGCTGACAATTCAAGAAGTAAAACGGGTAATACTCGTGACATACTTAGAGATTAAATTCGCGCTATTACCATATAATTCATATACCAAAGTGCAATTTTTTCTAATTTCAATTTAAATTCGTCACGCGTTTTTCGTTGTTGATGTTAACACCAGAACAAACTGCAAGCTCAGCAAAATGAATGAAAACAACAAAAGGGAACCATTTTGCAAGTTGCACTTAATGAATGCAACCTAAAAAGACAGTTGGAATGATTAGAACCAAACAGATGTATACATATTCTGATTTTTGTAGCAATGATAAACAAGTGCAAGTTGAAGCAAAAGGGGCCTGCTTGGCCACAGAATATCATTAATGGAACAAATTTTTAATGAATCACACAAGTTTATCAACTGATAAAAGAATCTGGAACAAGAACAACATAGGATCATAAAAAGATGGCACTTTGGATGCTACAAAATTCCAATTCTTACCACACTTGATAGGGGAAGAGAGATGGGGGATCCCCAGGCACTAATAAAGTGGGGCATACCTCTCCTTGTCCAGAATGAATGCCAATGGCCATACAACAACTTTCCCCTTGTAGAAAAACAATACCCTAATGATATTTTAAAGATACACAAAAAAATGAAATCTGGGTCGCAAAATTCAAATCCAGACCTTTGGTTGTTTTACCCTTTATTGGTTTTCGTCTTTGTCTTTGTCCCTCCTCCTGCTGCAGTTTTATCTTCCTCCTTTTCCGGGTCAAACCTTGGCAAGGTCAATAAGGTGTCTGCACGAGACACCCCTTCAAGGGAAGACCAGTCTTTCCAACCTAACTCTTGCTCGGAGGTTTCCTCGTTGCTCTCTTCTAAAGATTCCTCGACATCTTCACCGTTTCGAGCAGTGCTCGAGTGGTCCTTTACCTTCCCATTGTCATTGAAGGCAGAAGATATATCGTCTGAGTGTGAATTGAGGAAGAGGCAGACAACAGCACAGTCATCGACTTTGGAAGTTGGGTATTTGGTCCTCCAGCCTTGAACAGCTGTTTCAACCAGGAGTTTAGCTGCAGATGAGCGTGCAGGCGCTGAACCCACAATCTCTACCACCTCTTCGTTTGAAAGCACATCCCAAATCTGTGATATTTTATGAATTCATGTGTACAATGGAGATCAGATCGGAAAAAAAGAATCCAAGAATATGAAGACATAAAGAATCAAAATCAGATTCAATACCCCATCTGTTGCCAAGATAATAAATTCATCTCTCTCTGTTAACTGCCTGTATGAAACATCTGGTACAGAGATGAGACCGTAATCCTTGAGGCAAAAATCTCCAAAAGCACGTGCCATGGCAAGGCCAGGAGAGTCTGTATTTGGCAGCCACACTCTTGCAATCTCAGGCTCGTCACGAAGAGCAAATACACGTCCTTTATGCTTGCGAATCCTCTCGGCTTCCGCTGTCAGATAAAAGAACAAAAATAAAACGAGCTCAAGAGAACAATATTTGAAAGACGAAGGAATTTGGAAATCAGAGGATATCCATGATAAGAGAGGGAGATTAAACCCATAGAACTTCATTAAACTTCAAAATAAATAAGTAATAACATAAATTGTCAATTTCAGAAAGAAGATCAGCATGGAGGCAGCAAGATATATGTATACCCGGAAGACTAGGCTTGAGATCCACAGTCAACTGCACAGCAGTAAGAGAGTTGTCTTTATCTCTTGTACCCAGTACAGCTCTAGAGTCGCCAACATTCCCGATTATAAGATCCTGGCCCTGATAAAGCAATAAATTGATAATCATGAAAGGCTTCATGAAAAATAATAAGATAGTCAAGAATCATGCCTAGGTACCTGTTTCACAAGAGTTACTGCAGTTGTCCCACTGCAGAAACAATCAATACTTGTGCCCCTCAGTTCCCTATCCATGATCTTAAACGCCTTTAAAAATGAATCCTTCAATGTCAGAAAGACATCTGGTTGTTTATGAACTTCTTCAACATCAATAGATGCCATTGGAACTTCATCAGCAGATAAGAGGGAAGCACTCTCAGAATTCATGCTCAAAGCCGTATTTAGACTGAACTCTATAAGGACATCTTCACTTTTAGTATTAACTTCCCAGAGCGCACTTAATTTCAAGGGAAGAGAATCTCTCACTCTTTTTGCAACCATGTGACCATAGGGACCATGGCCATCAAAGACTCCACAAAAAACAGTATCAGTTCTTGAACCAAAATTCTGAAAATAGTAAAAATAAAAAATAATCAGAGACACTGCTCCCTTTCCAGGAAAGATGATTCAGATTACAGCAGAAGGTATAGACGATGAAACATGGGATGATCATATGCATAGGAAAAATGAGCCATCTAATAGAACTTTAGGTGCTACAGTCCATGTATTATAAGCATCAATAAGCAAAACATCAAGTGAATCATGGGTTATATCAAAGCATAGGTTGACACTGGACAAAGAATTGCAATCCTAGAGAGACAGAGAGAGAGAGGAACAAAAAACACTAAAACCAAATAACACAGCAGGAATTTAATGAGTAATGAAGAACACATATACTGATTGCTCATGAAACATTATAGCTGTATAACTCAAAATATGAAACAGTGCGATTAAAACATAAGAAGTGAGTGCAAGGACTGCACCTCCCAAACAATCATTGCATCTTGATTGGTCCCTTTCTTGCCTTGCTGTGTAAAGAGAGTAGCGACATCACTGGAGCCACTCAAGAACCTGCGCCCCGGGATCCTATGCAGATGTTCTTCCTTCCTAAGGTCAAAGGAAGAATTCCTGGACCCAGGCCTCCTCTTAGAATTCTTCCTCTTCCTCCCAATAGCAGATGTTGGGGATTGGAGAGGGCTCCTGCTTTCAGAAGACAAGCAGGACCCCATCTGGAGGGCCCTGACTACATTCAAAAAGCACTCCACAACTGCAACACAACCACACCCCCTATTTTCCGTATTCGACTCCGTCACAGCTCTCTTACTGATAACCTTCCCAAGTTCTTCAAAATCAACTCTCCCAACCCTCCACTTGATCCAAACAATTCACCAGATCCAGTGCCAAATTTCAATACAAAAAAGGACTCTAATTCCTTGCAGCCTCAATAAAGTAATGAGCTTTTCAATGGCAGACAACTATATATGTTAATCACTAAATGATCCTTATAAAAGATTAACACGAATTCAATAATAATAATATAATCTAATAATAACAAACTACCTTTTCTTTCCTTTTTCTGCACTTTACCAGAATTATTACAGATATTGGAGCAAGCATAAAGAACAGATCTTTCTAAGCAGAGCCCTTTATAAATTCATTTAATATGAACAATCCAATAAGTACCTTTCTCTCTCTCTCCTCCCTCTCGCAATCCACTCTATCACTGCTTGCAAAACCAATAATTCGGGAAGATCGCCTGAAATGCTCAAAATCCCGAATCCCCCACTTCCATTTCTGCTGAAACAAGCTAAGATTCCCAATCAATACAGGTCTGGAAGAGTGCCATTCCTCAAATCAAATCAAAATTAATGCACAGACAAGCTCAGAGTTCCACGATAATTGGTCAAATATAGAAATATATTAAAAGAAATCGCTAAAAAGAGTAGGAATAGCAATGAACAACGCAGAGTCGGAGAGAGATATGAGGAGAGAATTGAGATCGCAAAAAAGCCGCCGATGAGAATTCTTCAATTTTAGAGAGAGAGAGAGAGAGAGAGAGAGATTATTTATCTGGCTGTCAGGCCGTCTACATGTAATATGCATTTATCAACCGTATTATATACTGTAGTTTATACTACTTTCCTACTATTTATGTGTATGATTTGATTAATAAATTTTACTGAAATCATTTTAAATTTAATCTTTTTATATTTAACATTAATAACATATTTATATATTTAAAAATTATACTAAAAGTACTATAAGAAATAAAAATTTAAATTTATAAATAATTAAAAACTATTAAAAAGATTAAGTAAAGAAAAAGGTTGATTTGATCAATAAATAATAAACATAACAGATAAAATGAGATAAGATGAAATATATATTATTGTACAATTGTATGTTAGCTGATTGAGTTAATTAGAGAGTATAACTAGTTGATAACATTAGCTGATTATAGAAAGTGTTTGGTAAATTAATTGTTAGCTGGTAACTGTTTAGTATAATTTCTTTTCTCAAAAGGCTAATTGAAAAAGTTGTTTGTAGCAGTTTTTTTAATTTTAGCATTTTAAAGTTGTAAAAAATTAATTAATCAAACACTTATATTAATTTTTTAATCAAATCAAATAATTAATAGTGGTTAAATAAATCAAAATTGACCGATAGATCAACAATTTACCAAAGATGGCCTAGTCTTTGTAGTTTGTACCTTTCAGGATGGGAAGAAGGAGCTCCGTGCTGCAAAGCCTCACCATTTCCATCATTTTCACGGATTCAGGATGCGATATGTTTGGAATCTAATATCTATATTCAACATATCATATATATATAATATATGCAATCTAATTAAACTTAGGGGTTGTTTGTTTCAATTTTCAAACAATAGAATCGAAATCAGAATTGGAAATCAAATACTTGAATTATACTGTTAATGAGTTTAAACAGAAAATAAAATGCAATTAGTTTTTCTTCATAATTTTTTTAAAAAATATAATTAGATTTTAACATGGATACCATAATAAATGAAACGTAAATGTTTTGTTGACAATAAACCAATGATTCATATATTCCATATTAAATAAAATACAAAATGAAAAACATAACACTCTTTTACCACCACCACACCCCCCCCCCCCTCCCCTCCCCAAAAAAAAAAAAAAAAAAAATTAAAAATGACGTTAAAATAAATAGAAAATTAAAATTCCAAAGAAGAAAATCATATTAAAATATTTATACATTATTCATTAATTAAAAAGTGTTATTAAATTGAATTATATTTATTGAAACTACATATATAGACAGTGTTGCAAAAATTCCGTCTCGGCACCGATTAATCGGCGTCTAGGCGCTAGGCACTAGTCGGCCGCCTAGCATATCACCATAATCAATGGTCTAGGTAGCTGAATCGATGGTCTAGGCGGCTGACCGACTAGGCCGCCTAAGTGTCGCCTAGGCCTCCTAGGCACCGACTAACTATTGTTCCATTCTTTTTAAATGAGTTATTTTATTCAAAATGACATCGTTTTGAGCGTAATAATCCTAAATTGTTCAAACTCTAGATGTTTTTTAGGTTAATATTTAATATTTTAGTATTAACTATTAAAGTATTAAATAGTTTATAATTATCAAGTTTTAAAAAATAAAATAAAATAAACAAATATTTTTATAATAAATAATAAAATAAAAAATTACATGGCCGTCTAGGTGCCGATTAATCCCCGCCTAGGCGCCCTAGGCGCTCCCCGAGCGCCCGATGAGCGCCTAGCGATTTTTTCAACCATGGAGATATGTATGCATGTGTTTGTACGTACATAGTGATGGTAGAATTGACAAAAGACAAAAATAATAATAATAATAATAATTGAAGATAAACTTGCTATGAAAGTGTAAATGTACAACACAAAGAGTACTAAAGAAAGATTTAATGACACTTATTCTACTAACAAATTTTTAATTTCAGTTAATGACTAATGTTAAATGGTAAATTTGAAAAGAAATTATAAAGGAACAACAGAAATAACAAACACTTGATACAAATTATACTACCAAACACAATTGGCTTTTATAAGATTTTATTAGATTTTATTAGATTAGATACATCAATAGTGGGTTAAGACTTAAGAGTCACTACATCCTCCATCCAACTCACTCTTATACTTTTTCTATATTGACCCGACAAATTATACCTTGGGTCATGGTTCATATTGCATGCAATATGAACCATTAATAAATGTTCATTTTTAGTGTACTGAATTTTTTTAAAATATTATTTAAAAATGAACCTTCGATTACTAAAACTAGATAATGTATATCAACGGTTCACATTGTAATATGAACAATGCTCTACCATATAATGATTGAATTAATTAACCCAACCTCCCAACTTGAAGCAGTTGATTTTTTTCAAAACTTGCCTTTACACCACTGGAATAAATTTTTATTAGATGCATCACCTGTTATATATCATTCAAAAAAACATGATTTATGTTGGGCGGATTCAGGAAAGTATCTACGAGTTGGATTATAATTGTTGTTCCTACATAAGTAAAACTCAAGCTAAAACTTAATAAGTAAAGATATTATGTCTAATCTTTCATTTAAATACTTATACCATTTCCATCATTTTCAGAATTCATGATGCGACAATGTTATTTTGGAAACGAACAAAATAAAACTATGTTACGTATATCCAAAATAGTAAATTTATAGATAAGTGTAAAGCAATAAAAAATGGATTGATCGTAAGAGAGTATGGAATGTCACTGTTCCACATATTTAATTTATACATTTCGGACAAATTAATTACTCCGTATATGACTTCAAAAAAATTACTCCGTATATAATAACAATTATTGCTACTAATATTTAATGTCCATTGGTTAAGTTAAAACAAGTGAAACACATAAATTTTAAAGAAACATAAATGTAATACATTTGTACAAATCTAATAATAAAGTATTACAAAGTATTTTTTTTTTTTGTTAAAATGTTAACATTGATTAATTTCTTGTAAGATTTAAAACAAAATAAGTGTACTCCGAAACGAGTGGCTGAATAAGTGAAGTATGATTCTCGTACTAGAAAATTACGAATTTTCTATTAGTTAAACTCAATGGCAATGAGAATCGAATATTTGATAATAGTAAAGGGTTTTAAGTAAAATGAGTCATTTTATTTGATAATAAATAAGAATGGAATCAAAATAAAAATATATAAATAATTAATTAATAAAAATAAAAATATATAAATATATAAATATATATAATACATATATATACACCTACATAAATGCACATGTGTAGTTTAGTTGTAATTTTTACCTAATCCACTAATCTTCTAATAGTTCAGTTGTAATTTTTAAACATATAATAAATATAACGTAAATATACAATCAAATTATCAATTTTACATTTTAGTTTAGAATGAACAGATTCTTCAATTTCAATTTTTATTAATTAAAATATTTCTTAAGCTTTCCTTTCGTCAAACTCCATTTGATTTTGGCCCCCCACCCCCCGCACCCCAAAAAACAAAAATTATTTTTAAATTATATTTAAGATTATCCAATTGGCAACTATAGATTATTATTAATAATTGCTAGAAGTTATTGTGGGAAACGCAACCGTGCCCAGATTATGTTCGTATGGAAAATCTTATTAATTGCATGCAAATGCCAACTCACCATAAACACCCAAAATCTTATTCATTACCATCATTATATCATGAATTATGATGTATATAATATAGACTCTGGTCCAAACGATATCGTTTCAAGATAACATATATAATTAACAATCATTCCCACTATTTATTGTCATGAAATATCTACTAAATCTTTAACGTTACCTCTAGAAGGATCTACTAAATCTCGAGACTTTCTACCCCTCCTTTACACCAAAATAATAATAATAATAATAATAATTAACAATCATTCCCACTATTTATTGCATGTTACAACCAATATAATCAATTATTATGCAAATGTGATATTTATTTACATTAAACTTTATTTTTATTAATATATAGAACTAACTTTATGAATAATGCAATAAGTTATTCAATTAATTTAAATTTAAATGTACATAATTAAATGATACAAGTGAATAAGATTATTGTGTGGTTTACCTCTTCTATGTGGTTTGGGCGCTATTATACACGAACATAATTTATCAAGTGCACACTTTTAGTAGTGGTTTCGATTTTTCTCGTCATTAAAAAGAGAGAGAGAGAGAGAGAGAGAGAGAGAGATTACATTGGTATTTGGTCTAAGTACAAAAGATTTTTTAATTTACAAAAGTATGCAATCACTACTCAAAATCATGCTTTGAAACTGACATTATTTACATATAGCTGATCAGTTCAAATTAAGAAAGTCAATAAACGTGATGAGAAATTGGATAAATGTATTCGGATGAGACCTTAATGTCCACGTGGCAAATAAAGAAGATAAGAAAAGTACAAAACATGAGTAGTTTGTGCATATGTAGACAGATCAGAGGACGTGTTGTTTCATAAGACTAGATAGGGAAGAAAATCCATGCCAGGCAGGCAGTCCACGGTTACACAGGTCACGTGATGACAGGTCGTCTTGTTTCCGTTACAATGGCAGATCACGGTGGTCGGTGGGGATATGATCATCGGATCAGATCATCGCTTTATCCACGACCAGTCGACCACACTCTTAA